CAGCAGGTTGTCCTTAGGATTTCCATGTTAGAGCTTTTTGAGTTGACCTTTATTATATTAATGCTAATTTAATTTTTTAAGAAAAGAAAGAAAATATTGACTTACACTGCATAATGGACACAGTTTTTGCAAAGTCTATTAATCCAGAGTAGTTAATGTCCATAAATTCTAGCAGGGGGATTTTTTTTGTTGGTGGAAAGGAAGAAACAAATATTTGACTTAAAAGTAAGTGATGTTCTGATGGGATGAAAAAAAGGAATTGATGATGACTGTGAAAGGGGATATAATTGCTTTCATGTCTCTTGCTCAGTAATGTGCTTCCACAGAATTTTGTACAATGTGAATAGACTTTTTACGTCTGTGCTATTAATATCACAAACATCATTTGAATAGCATGAACCAGAATAGTCTTGTCTGCCATGCTCTGCTGGGCATGAAGGCCTCCTTGACTTTATTTTTCATTTTTTATCTTCTAAGAGACCCACCTATATATCAGAAAAATATGTAAAACATCTATGATAATTCATTCCCCATGATGGATGCCAGGAACATCTGGAAAAGCAAACCGAATAGGTATTGAAAGATGGGAAAAGAAAGTGCCCTCTGAAAGAAGGCACCAAACAGGCTGCATGGCTCATGTTAAAGAGCCTGTGTTCTTTATATAATTTTTGCTTTCTCTTGGCAAAGTTCTGGCTGAAAGGTTTCTGTTGGTTTGAGATGGAGGCAGTTTTTGATACTGTGGAGCCAGCTGGTCCATCCTGGCGTATGTAGCGGTAGCAACCCCCTTCTGTTTTCACGTCCGTGTCTGAAAGCGCGAGTCAGGTCCAGTCAGAACAGCAGCAAACGTTGCTTCACATTGGCTTTTTGGCACTCTGCTTTTCAGCCACTTTTCAAAGTAGGTTATGTTTGAGTCAGTAGACTTAATTTGTCAGTCGTTGGCTGAGTTGACATGTCTGTCTGTGGAGGAGGGGAAGTGTCATTTGCTCTCAGAGGTTCCTCATTTGAGCACATAATGAATGCTGTCTTCTTTGCTTCTACAGTTACGAGAGCCAACTTACTTCTTTATATTTACCTTGCACTGTTGCATATTTGTACCCCACCCCTGCACTCACTGTTGCTATTCAGCAGATATGTTAGATAAATACACAGCTAATCAAAGAAAAATTTTATCTGAACGCAAAATAAAGCTTGATTTTTTTTTAAAATTTTTTTTTTTTAGAAATTGAGTTGTAATATGCACAAGTCCTTTTTCAGTTGAGTTAATATATTTTAAAATAATGAGATATTTTATGTGCTTTAATGGGATTCATGGTCGTGTTAGTGACTTACAGATAGGGATTAGCAGACTTAAATGTTTAAATCTATTCTCATAATCAAAATAAGGTAAAATGTGTACAAATTGTATTAAAGGGAAGATTATGTTGACTTATTTTTTGTGCATTACATGATAACATGTACTAGCCAAGAGTTTTGCGTTGCTTCTTTTCCAGACCATTAGTTTGATATACGTTTTGTTCGTATGGCTTGAGCAAAAAGTGACAAATTCTGTTCAGGTATGATTTTGTGCGTTTGTGTGTCCCTTTGTCTGCAAGTGAGTCCTAGTACTTTGAGATAATTAACCGAAGGAATTTGAGAGCTGCATGCCTCAAGCAGTGTAATAGGTTGTGAAATCTTGGAACAATACAAAGTTAAAGTTCATTAAGGTTTAATGATTATTTTTTTTTAATTACTGTCTAGCATTTTGACAGGTGTATTATCTACTTAATTAAGCCTCAGTTATTTTAGCTTTCCTTTCAACTAAAGTACAGGATCCTAGTTCAGAACTGGTGCTGCTCAGAGGGACTGAGCTGAGTGGCAGAATGGGTTTTGAACATGGGGAAAAAGGTTACTCCTACATTGATGCCAGACCTCACTTCAGCTCACCAAATCCAGGTTTTAGGAGGTTTGTTTTGAAACAAGTTGACGGCGCTGCTGTTCTTGCATGCTGTGAAGGGCTTTTTTGGGTGAGTGGTTTTTTTTTTTTCCATTAAACTTGCCTGGAGTAGGAAGTAAGCTGCTTCCTGCCCTTAACTGAATGCTGAAGATTTATGGTAGTTGATGCTCAAAAGCTTTGGATTAATTTTTTAATTTAAGGATTTTGAGAGAGCGAAAACCAGCTAATTAAATTTTAAATAATTTTAAAGGAATTACTGAATTTTACAGAAATCTAGTAAAAGTTAAATGTTGGTTTCTTGGGAAGACATGCTGAAACTTCCTTGCTCTCCTGTGGCTGTTAACTTCAGCAATTCAGAGCTGTGCATGAAACCACTGAAGGACATTTTTATGACCCGTTCCGGTGAACAGGGGAATATGTTCCAGCGTGGCGGTGAGCGCTGCGCTGCGGAGCCCTGGCACTGCAGCAGCAGGAGGCCGTGCCGCCCTCGCCGGCCGCACGCAGCCTGTGTAGAGAGGGTGCAGTGGACGTGCAGGTGTGCCCTCCCCAGGGAGTACTTTCCTCAGGTGGCAGCTGGGCACAGCACAGGGCTGAAAGTCGTCTTTGCTAATTGCCATAAATATTGTACCCTCTGTTAGTTGCACTTGTCTACACTCTGAATACCACTTTTGCAGAGGCCTCTGTTCAAATCCTATCTTTGATAGTAAGAATTGCACGAGGAGCTAAAAATGCTTCAATGCCTTACTCAGTGAAGCTGAAATGAGAGGCAATGCTCTCTGCAACTTCTGTACCCACCCTGGAGGCATATTCTGTGCCTGGCTAGCTTGTCTCCTCTTAGGACTGTTTACGAGGAGGATACAACTGCCACATCTGGGAGGAATGTGAGCTTCCTGCTCATTCAACAGAGTGGGAACTTTCCTCTAGACGGTGTGGCAGCTTTCAGTAGCTTCTCCATTTTGCTGTAGCATTAGTCCACGTGCTACTAGAGTATGGGCTGTGAGACTGAGAACAGTTATTGAGCTGAAATAGTAAGAGAAGTCTACCAGTCTGTAAGGTGAATTTGGTAATTTACTGCTTTGCCAGGTGAGTGTGTTCTGCTGCGCACTCGTGTGTTCCCTCATCACAGATGTGAGGGAAGGGAAGGGATTTGCCTGGGCCAGTTGCAAGAGAGAGAAGCAGCAGCCACAGAATGAGCATGTATGCTGCATCAAAACCTTGAGCCTTGGGAGTCCTTGTGGTGAAATGTGTGTGGGAAAAAACACTACTTTTATTTCTTTGTACTCCCAAATCTCTTACGTAGAGATGGCTGCGTGCCCAAAAGCCTATTAGACCAGCTGAAAGGTGACTCTGAGCTGTAGCTGGAAAGTTAATTTATTCTGTGGTGAAACATCTTCTGGCTTTCTCAGCCTGGACTTTTCTTACCTGTAGGAGAAATTACATCGTGTCTTCAAGCAGTGCTGAGGAACAGAGTTGAACCAGCGTTGGTGATTAGAAAAATGAAGTCCTGGAAGTCATTTGGTTTCCACTTTTCAATGAGACACATGTGGCTATACACCTTAGTCATTTTTGATAATGGGATTCAGACTTCTGAGTCACTTAGTGTTTCCAAAACCACACCTAAACTAGGTGAACTGAAAGTCGAGCAGATGGTCCTGAAGGGCTAACCATCAGAAAACCAGCAGTTAAGGAAATTCGTGTATTTCCACCTGCAGAGAGAACCTGAAAGGATAGTGGTGGTTTCCCTGCCCGCATCCAGCGGGCAGAGTGCAGTGCGCAGTTCCCAGCCTGCAGAGGAGCCCGGCAGCTGGTGGGAGCCCTGGCCTGCAGCTCGTAGACCAGCCTGCCAGGATGTGGCTCTGTGCTGGCCTCGTGGTGGCAGGAGAGGCAGGCCAGCCCTCGGGGGACCTGGCACTGCCCTGTCCCTACGGCGGGCTGCTGCGGGAGGGTGCTCCAGCGCGGGGCTGCTGAGTACCCTTTCCCCGGGCTTCCTCCATAGGGAGGGTGCAGGCGGCTTGACTGTCCGCCTTGGCCCGTTGCTGAAGGCAGTCGGGTTCCCTGTGAAGCTGGCGAGGAAACGCGGTGAGCCATTACCCAAAATAGCAGAAGGCCACGTTAGCTGGTCTGTCTTCAAAACTGGCTTAAATGCTGTAATTGGTATCCTCTGACTCCAGTCACAGAAACTTAGAAGCGTGGCTTTTACTTTGTCGTGTCGAGGTCTTTGTAGGAAGACTCTCACCAATTATTTTCTTTAAAGAGCCATTAAAATCATTTTACATGTGCTCAAAGCTATAGGTGGGCTTAGTTTAAAATATTAAAGAGCGAACCGTGGTGAGTTGAAAAATGACATAAAAAACAGACAAAAGAAGAAATCCAGCCCTTTCCCTCTTTTTCATTCTTGTGTTATTTTGACTAGTGGTATTAGTGTTATTACCTTGTGTATGGTAATGCTTACAGAGTGATGAAAGCTTAAGGGAAAAGGAGAGTTTATTTTGGAAACAATAAAAGCAGACATGAAAAATTTGTTCTTTTACTTCTCTTGATACACGTGCCAAGATTGTGTCCAGTGGTGGAATGCTTGAGAGATGGAGGAGAGGGATCAGGTGAAGACTAAGATAGGTGATGGTACCTTGGTAGTTTTTCATTTCACTTCTTGTCCAAACTGCCATCTTTTCTTATTTTTTCTAATTTGTTTGCTTTTTATCTTATAAGAATACTTTTTTGAAACTTCTTACTTTCTCACACTTCAGTCATCACTGTTTGGAAGCTGTTGCAGGGAAGGTCTTGTGTTCTGTAAGAATCTGAAATATTAAAAGAGGCTGTCAGGGTTAATTCTTTGTTTCTTTACTATGAAGAGAGTAGCTGCGGGATGGGCTTGGCAGTCAAAAGTTCAACGGAGATGGGAGCCTCAGATCTTTGCTAATTAAACCTCTTGTGTTCAGGGGCCCACACATGAATGTAGGAATCTAGCTGTAATGATAGTCTCTGGAGAAGCTTAGTTTACAGCTCTGATACACTTGATTTCCGTGCCTGCTGAAAATGATTAATTTCCGTTTATATTTCTGTACAGATTGAATATTTACTTAAAAAACTCACCGAAGCAATGGGAGCTGGCTGGCAGCAAGAGCAGTTTGACCATTATAAGATTGCTCTTAACACCAGTCGAGAAGGTCTTTCTGCATGGGAGCTGATTGATCTCATCGGAAGTGGGCAGTTCAGTAAAGGGATGGACCGACAGACTGTGTCCATGGCAATCAATGAAGTCTTTAATGAGCTCATATTAGATGTACTCAAACAGGTAAGAACCACCGAGAACTAACATGTTAGAGTAGAACAATACATTGCGTAATTAGAAAATGTTTGACTTGTACTGAAATTTCTTCACCTGATGGATAAGGAGCAGAGGGAATTTAGGTAAATTACTTGTAAGTGTTCTTTAATATGAGCTTATTTTTATAAAAGAGAAACTGTGCTGCTGTTCAGATTGTTGTCATTGTTGCAGTATTATGAACGAGTTGCGTGTTGGGAGAGTTTGTTTTTAGAAAGTTCAAGTGTGCTCTGACTTGAAACACAGCCTTTTTCATACTAGTATCAACTACTTGTTAGCCAATGGAATAGCGACAACAAGCTGTCAGTTCTGAAACCAGTGACAACTCTTCAATCTTTGAAAATGCTTTTTTCTAGCTGCAGTTACGTTGTAGCAAATACAAGTTGTGCTGATGATAACTTCTGTATTCAAACAAGAGGGTCCGGACAAAGATATTGCGCCAGCTGAAAGGTCTGCTGCTAAGTTGCCTGACTTCAGCAGGGCAAAAACGTGTAGAAGAGCTCCAGAGCGCTCTCCCTGCTTGTTCTGCTTAGCAGGCTACGTGTCTGACAGCTAATTTACCTGTACTCAAACACAAGAAGTCATGCTGGCCTTTATATTCTTAGCAAACTTCTGCCAAACTTTAGTTTCTTCAGATTTCCAGTGGCTGGATTATCAGTTTAGGAATGACTTTAAAAACTGCATTTATTTCGTGGCAAGTAGAAATATCACAGGGGCCTTGAGGGGTCACAGCAGCGCTTACCTAGAGAGCTATTTAAATTGATTTTTACCCGACAGAATTTTTTCCATCTTTGACTTCTTGGTGAGGAGAGAAACAAAGGCTTTCTTGGCAGGCTTTCCTAAGCTGTTCTGAAGAAATCATCAGAAGGTCTTGGCACAGGAAATTCTTTCAGAATATCTACAGAACAATGCAAAAGTCTATTTTTGTTAACTGCTGGTTGCCTGTTGGAGGTGAGGGCTGGAGACACACACAGGCGCATAGTCAGTTGAGGGCAAAATGAAGTCATTCTGCTGTTTAATACCATGAAAATAAAATAATGAGTGTTGGGTCAGTCCCTCTCCCCCCACCCCACGTCTTTTTTTTTTTTTTACATTACTGTCTCCTTTCTTTCCTCTCTTGGTGGCTGGGCCTGTTTCTCAAGGATGTCTGAGTGCCTTTGAAAGGTTCCTTGAGACTTAAAAGTAGTTCGTGTCCAGCACCTCCTGGACAGTCAGTGGCCTAACGGAGAACAGAGTTCCCTGTGTGACTTACAGATGTCTGGTTCAGTCATAGGTTGTACCCTGCCACCTTGTTGATTCACAGAATTGTCCTGTTTATTGCAGCATAGAACTACTTCGAGATATTAATTAATGACATACCGTATCATAGCCAAGTCTCATGCTACCCTTTTTATTGTACATGTATCCTGGATCCCCAAGGCTTATGGAGGGCAGCAGTGCTAATTAAATTCATGATGTTTAGTTTTCTGAAAGATGTGTCCCTCGTGATGGCATGAAAGGATCACCAGGAGCTGTCAGTGGGCTCTTGGAAGATAAGAAGCAGCTGATGTGTAGAAATAATACATAAAAGATTTTGCAGAAATTTGAGAGGCAAGTATCGGTCTGACTTGCCTTTGAAAGCAAATTCAGTACGTCAGGAAGGGGAAAAACACCTGGTTATGACTTAGACTGTGCAAGGCATGAAAGAGTGAAGCTGCAGGAGTCCTTCACACGCCCTTGCGACCACCCAGCCCTTGGGCCTGAGTACGGAGGTGGCAAACAAAGCTGTTTCTCTGCACATTCCTGTTTTGGAGCAAGGGGGTGGGATGGCAAGGGAATAGGCACGGCCTTGGCTCTGGCCACCCAAGGCCACATTTAACTGGCTAGAAAAGCTGAGCACAGATGAGCTCTATGTGTAGGGAGGTTGTTTCATTTTTGTTTTTTAAAAAAAGAACTGCTCCAACTGTCTTGAACTTTTTCCCTTCAGACCTGTAAGGAAAGAGGGTTTTGACTTAAATATGCCACAGCACGTTTGTTTGTTTGTTTGCTTATATCCAAAATTGCTATAGCTAAAAGTCATTACAGAAAAGTGTTCCTTGGTCTCCTTTCCAACTTTTCCATCCTCTTAATCTGGAATACTTTGAGTTCAGTGCTTCCTCTGTGGCTTGTTCATAGCTATATTGATGTAGGTGTTTCGGTTTCATCTGTGATTTGACTTTTTTCTGAAGTTGGGAGTCAGACAAAAGTGTGTACGTAATTGGGGAATGTGGTTTCAGAAATGACAGCTATAGCTGAGATGCTGGCCAACTTTGAGACTCTGACTTAGTCAGACTCTAAAAACTGACTAGGTCACAGCAGTGCCCCTGATAAGATCACTAAAAATCAAACATCTGAAAGAATGACCAATTACTATACCATTCTCTGGGCACCCATTTTTCAGTGAGATGGTTTTTGAGTTGCCACAGCCACCCTGTGTAATGTATAACAGCATTACTAGTGTAACTGCACTTAGCATCGCTGCTCGTGTTTTAGAGATGTTCGTATTCAATAGAGGCAAAACTGGATGATTTGATCATGATACCAGCCCTATTTATTGCCATTACAGAAGATTATAATTTTTATTCCTTTATTTGTATAAAGCTCAGCGGCAAAGAATGGGCTTCTCTTCGTTCTTTTGAAACAGTCTTGATAAGGCTTGATAGTGTTTTTCTCATATACTAGGAAGTTGAGTGGATCATCTTTCAAGGAAAATAAAACACCGTGAGTGAAATCTTTGCATTATTTAAATCAGGGTACAACTCTGTTCCTTTAAGGGAAAATCCAGACTTCACTAGTGTTCCCATATCCCAGCCAGTACAGATTCCAGGAGGAGAGTTCTGTTACCGGTTTCTCTAACATACTCATTGAAGTATCCTATATGGGATCATTTTTTTTTTTTCAGTGGGGTGTAGCTAAATGAGTGTGTTGGCAGGGTAGAGCTGCTCCCAGGACAGAGGTGCTTCCGCTTTGTCCCTGGCAATGTCCCGTAACAGGCTGGAGTTACAGTGCATAGATGCAGACCCACATCTGTCACTGGGGCCTGTATCCACAAAGGACTGATTTTTAATAATGGCTGTCACTAAAGTGTTGCAGTTGAGTCTTAGTGATGGCAAATGTCTCTGCTTGACTGAAGAAAATTAAACAGTAAAGGTCATCAAAGAGGACCAAAAAGTCATAATTATTACAACTCAATAATGACATGATAATAACTGTTGAGTTCTTCAGGTAACTCAGTTACTTAAAAACTGGACAGAAGAACAGTGAATAGTTTCTCATGGGCTAAACAATTAGCAGTGTGCTGGTATTAAGAGTGGAAGTGTGTAGGTGAATCATTTAGGGCCTCAAGCTGCCTTTTCTGTGTGCTTTATTTTAAGCCACATAACCAGAAGACCAGGTGGTTCAACAGAGGCCGGGCGTTTCAGCTGATCTGTTGCTTTTTACAGGGCTATATGTTGAAAAAAGGTCACAAAAGGAAAAACTGGACGGAACGATGGTTTGTGCTAAAACCCAATATTATTTCCTACTATGTAAGTGAAGATTTAAAGGACAAGAAGGGAGACATCATACTGGATGGAAACTGTTGCGTAGAGGTAAAAAAAAAAAAAACAACAACAAAACACCAAAAGCTATTAACGTTGCTAAAGATAAGAATTAATCCTTTTTTGTTTGTAGGAGGGACTCGCAATATCTTTTGTTAATGAGCTTTTTTTACTTTATATAAAAACAGTTCATAAACACTCTTTTAATACAAGTTCAGAGTGCTGGTGTTTGTAGCTCTGTAACAGGTAACTGCACACGTAGGCCTTGACAATGTAACGTAGATTTCGGTGTTTGCAGGGCTAATGGTTTTGTTACCCATTCTAGGCCTTGCCGGACAAAGATGGAAAGAAATGCCTTTTTCTCATAAAATGTCTTGATAAAAGCTTTGAGATCAGTGCCTCTGATAAAAAGAAGAAGCAGGAGTGGATTCAAGGTGAGGTTTCAAAAAACTTAGTTAAGTGAAAGTTAAGGTAAGCCGAAGTCCTACAGCTGCGCGTTGCTCAAATTTTAAATTCTTGGTCTTGTGATTTTTGATGTCTCTGTTTTGGGCACACGGAAAGGATCCTTAAGGAGCTGAGACTCAGGAAGAACTAAGGATCCATGCAAAGGGAATCAGTTTCTGTCATTTAAGTGCTTCAGTTTAGGCAGCCATAAACAAAACGAAATGGATATTGTTGTTTGCTTTTTCTATATTTGCTGTACTTCTGGAGACGAGGAAGGGAAAGGGAATACATTGTAAATTGTTGCTTTTGAGGAGAGAGGGAAAGCTTGTTCGTTTCATCACCATAAAATAAGGGCTTTGCTTTTACAGTTTTGCTTGAGGTAGTGTGGTTTGGTGAGCTCAGGATAAGGCTGGGAATTGGGTCTTCCTTTTCTGTTCCCACGGTGAAGTTAATCCTTCTGTGAGACCTTCCCAGATACATGCTGAGTGATAGCTACATGCATACGTGAGGTAGAAGCCCTTGCAAAAGCTGCTGCTGCCAGTGCCGTTGAAGTATATACAGCATGTAAATATTCGGAGCTTTCATTTACACTTCCCTCTTTGCCTAAAGCATGTGTTTAATTGCACCAAAGTTTGATGGATGACAAATGATTACTTAGTTCCCAGAGGAGATCTTTTTTCACAGGTGTAGTAGGTGAATAAAATACGAAAATCATCTGCTACTCCTCAGCTTTGCTCTCTGAATATTTCCTCTCTGAATATAAGTGAATGAGAGTTACTTTCTTACTGGGAGAAAGTTCCCTTGGAGCATCAGTAAGAATAAAGGATTTAAGGTTGGGTTTAGGGCAGTAAGTGATGTATATACTAGACAACATCTGCTTGATTAGAGTAACTGAATCTAGGTAGTAGGAAATCTTGAAGTGTTGGGGTTTCGTTGTTTTTGCAGCTAGGCGTACAAGTGACTTATATGTCCACCGCTTGTTAGAAATCGATATTGGAATTGACATAATGCATTGGAATTGCCAGACCTTATCCTTGTGGCACACAGGCAATACTGAAAGCCAAGTGTCTTTCACTTCTGGTTTGTGTTGACAGCTAGCCTGATGAGAATTAGGAGAACTGACAGCAGTTTCTTCTGGTTTAAAAACATGTTAAAAAAACCTTCGACAAACCAAACAACACGCCACCACAGCTATTCATTCAGTAAGCCTATCCAAAATGTTTAGCTTTTCCTTTCACTGCTGTTTTCTTCCTCTCCCTTTGTGTTGGACACTCCTTTCCAGCCATACAGACCACTGTAAACCTGCTGAGAGCGGGGAGCCCTCCACCCCACAAAGAAGCACGCCAAAAACGAAAAGAATTGCGCCAGAAGCTGTTAGCTGAGCAAGAAGAGCTGGAGCGGCAGATGAAAGAACTGCAAACGGCCAACGAGAACAAGCAGAAGGAACTGGAGACCGTGCGAAAGGTGGGAGTGGGCACTGCTGAGTTTCCAGGTGCAAGCTTGGACTCTGTGGTTGAGCTGGGCTTCTGGACGTACAATTGGGCACCTGTTTCCTGTTCGGGTGTTCAGACACATGGAGCAAACCCCTCCCGAGGAGGTGAGCCTGTGTCGGCACCAGACCCTGGGCAAGTAGGTCAGGTGGTTGGACCTGCAGTAAAGCTTTCAGCGTTCACTGCAGCCGTTTCTCAGGAATGCTCAGCAGGCTGGGAGTAACTCACGTGGCTCAACTCTGTACTCGTGAGGGTGTTGTGACACTAGTGTCAAAGAAAACCCCAGCTGTGTGGATGGCGTCTGGGGACTGGAGAGCCTAGTGTTTTCAGTTACTTGTGGGGTTTTTGGTGTGGTTTTTTGTCTGTCAGACTTGGGGCTTTCCATTAAGATTTTCTTATATAGTTTTCCAAAGTTTTGTTATGTGAATTATATGTGTGGGGAAACTCTTCACACACACGTAGTTTCCAGAGACACAAATTTAATTTACAAAGATTCCAAAGATACAAAGTGATTTTGTGAGCATGTATAGGCATAATTTTATTAGACCCGAGACACATAGCAACCATTTATAAACTGTTTAAATGCATCTTTCTTGTAAATACTGGATTGACTTCTGAAAGCGTGAGAATATCTAGCGTGACTAGAAATTTCTGAGTATTAGCAGAAGGCTTACTGAATACTTTATTTTCTGTGTAGACAGCTTTTTAGTCTAAATCTAATGACTGGCAGGAGGCACCAAGGTGCCTTTGCTGTGGCTGCACGCTCTCAACAGTAGATCGAACGTGCTGTTGGATCTTTGTGTTTTGGAACAACTGGTACCTCTGCTGTATTTCTCCACAGTGACTTGATTAGTATCCAGATATACTTCCTATCTTTTCTTTTTAAAGACTTGCAAGAAGACTCACTATGGCTTTTATTGCTGTGATACCTTTTAATGAGGAATTTGCTTTAGAAATAGCTTAGAACATCTTCAGATGCCTCTCTCCCCAACATTTCGGCTGCTGAGTCCCTGCTGCTAGAGCAGTCCAGCTCTTGGCTCTGTGCTTAGTCTAAAGAGTCTTTTTGTTCACTACCTTCCTAAACTAATTTGATTTTTTTTGTATTCCCATTTAGGACAAGTCTGCATAATTGCTTGAGTTGTTAATAAATGAAAAACACTAACTAATTTTAGCCTGGAGTTAGAAAAAACTTTAATGATCTTTACAGCAGGGGGGTGGGGAAGCTGTACATACTGTGAGAGCATGTTAAAGGTGCTGAGTCTAGGAAGCAAACAAAATAACCCAGAATCTATCTTTGTAAAAGACTTGTCATTAAGTCACAATTTGTGGCGAGGAGAAATTTGTCTTTTTTTAATTAACCTTGCACTGGTAGTACTGATGTGGGTATTCTGTTTGCCTTAAATTTGAGTCTGACAGTGGAAAACTGTTTTTTAATTTAATTTTAGCACCTATATTCTACCATGTGTTTAAGAAAAATATGCTTTAAAGGATAGTCTGTGTAACTGGCAAGCTACTGGTAAGTAATATACCTGCTACAGAAATCACAGGGCTGGATTTCAGTGCTGAGTTTAGTTTGTTGAGAAAAAAGTTAGGGGGAAGATAACGAGAGCAGGGAGTTTTGCAGAAATCACAATGGGTAAACTACAGAGAGTTGCGGCAAGAAGCGTCTTTGGAAGTGGACTGGAGTAAAATGACTTCTCAAGGAAAGTAGTTTAGTCTCTGACATGAGCTACCACACTTTGACTAAGTAGAATGAGTGGGGAGGTGCCGTGTTAGGGAAACTTAGTGTTTGATTAGTTTGAAAAATGTCCTTCAAGGAAAGGGCTTTGTAAATGGTTCAGGAAATGGAGTTGTTCTGGAGAGCGTAGCGTTAGATTTGCTCCTGATGGCAGTGAGCCACCACTTGTGCAGCATCTGCCAAAGCGCACTCTGAGACCAGTTTGTATTTTGATAGCTCCCGCAGTAGAAAATTTCAGAAGAATAGGAGCCTTTGTCTAAAATAGATTTTTTTTTTCATATTTTTTTAAATGGAATTTTGAGACACACGTTGAACAGACTGAAAGGTAAGTTTTTCTTACCAAGAGAGCATGCATAAGACTTGTGCACCCTTTCTGTTTCAGTTTGGGGTCTTGCATGGGCTTCAGAGATTCTGAAGCTAACTAATCCCTGATGGAATGATGTGTTCATGTTGATTCTCCCTCCCTCCCCACCCTCAACATTTCGGACTTTTCCCTGATCGGCATAGTTGTTGCCAGTAACCTTACCTGCCAGGAACTGATGTCCTCCGACATGAATTAAGCAGGAAGTTGCTGATAGAGAGTGGACAAATGGTGTATTTTCTCGTTGAGCTCCCTGGCAAAAGCCTAGCACCCACCCTTGCCTGTGACTCTGCACGTTCGCCCTCTTGGCTCGGTATTGGCAATGTTTGTTTAATTTCAAAGCAGGGAAGGAAATCAAAAGAAAATTTCACTTTAATAGGCATCTTGGATTTGACTACAATGACATGCTTTTAAATGTTCTGGCAGAGGAGGAATACTACTAAAAGACTGGCATCATTTAGGCTTTTCAAAGGAGAGCAATTCTGCACTATCCTCTACAGCTTAAAAACAAAGTAGGAGCCTTCTCCTCTCCTTCTTCCCATCTATTTCAGACTAGAGTGAAACACTAAAAGGAAGGAAGGTTTTAACATGGCAGTTTTAATTGTTTAGGCATCTCATTAGTTCATCGAGGTTGTGTGAGGGAAGATGGTTTAAATGTGGGACCTTTCAAAAATACTAAAGATGATGGGTTTCCTGCTCTTACTGAAGATCTGTGGAGACAATTTCACCAACCCAGCGTATTACAAAAGAAGGGTGCTTGCCTTCTGTTGCCTCTGAAGCATCAGATAAGTTTGTTAGGAAAATTTTGTGAAAGAATTATTTTGTTTTCAGTAGTGGTAAAGTTTTGGCTAGTACTTGTACATTGCTAATCTTCCCTGCATTCTAAAAGTACGTGCTATTGAAAGCCTAATGAAAGGAAAACTGCGACAGCTATCTTTATGTGTGATACCAAGATGCATGAAAAGTTAAGTAAGTTGCAAAAAGGCATGAAGGTACCAGCAGCTGTTTCCTAGGCCTAGCTCTCACTAGGCTATTTTTTCCCCTAATTACAAGTGATGATTATTGACTAGAATTTTATTTACCCTACATGGCAAGTTAGGGGATGTTAAAGGGCTGTGATTCACAATAGCACAATCACTTATTATAGTCAAAGTTCGCAGCGCTTCTGCTTTCCCATGGCAATTTAGTGCTTCGCAGTTCTGTTTCTGTGTGAACTCTGTGCATGCTGGCATGTTGTCACTGTTGGAACTCCTGCGCAGTCCTGCCTGGGATGTAGTTTTCCATAATGGTTTTCTATCCCATATGAGATAGAGAAGGGAATGCAGCGATTTCTATTGGTTCTGCAAAGCAGGACTCAAAGGAAGCTTAGAGGAATTCTGATAATTGACTTCTCATTGGCAAATTTAAAGTTGTCTTGCAAATGACAAGATTAAAAATTACGCTTAGAGATTGAGAATAGCCTCAGATGTTTAAATAAAAAACTGGTGCCTTAATGCTTTTGAAGGTTTATTTGGTTTTAACAAAACTGGAAAATTGTTAAATAAAATTCCATTCCCTCTAAATGTTTTATTTTTGACTGATGGGTTTTTCCTTCTTTTCTACACCCTGCCCTTCTGTTCTAGCAACTGGAAGCAGCAGCTGCTCGTGCTGCTGAGGAAGAAAAGAAAAGGCTTCAGACTCAAGTCGAATTACAAGATCGCTTCAGTTTGGAGCTGGAGAGAGAAAAAATGGTGAGTAGTGCACATGGCTTTTCGCTACGATTACACATAGTGAGCAATGCGTTTGACAGTGACTTCCCTTACAGGCAGTCATTGAACGGATTCCACAGATTTTGCAGGAGGCTGGAGAATGCAACCTGCGTTGCATTTATTAGAGACGTAGGAATAAAATATTTTTACAATTAATTCAAATATTGGAACAGCCAGCCTGCCATTTGTGTAGCATTCAAAGCTTAAATAATATTGGAAAATTGAGAAGAATTTGACTGATTGAAAGATAAATGCAGACTGAAGTTTTCCTTGCAGTTTTCAAAGATGGAGAACCTGAGGCGAATACATACTATGTGGACGTGCAAAATGAACACAGGCATAATCAAATTGTGTTTTAGAAATTTTCTGATTTGAATATATTCTTAAAACTATTGCTTTTTTACTGTGTGTTCTTCTACATTTATACACACACACAAACATGAAATATTGTAGCTTTGCAATGCTGTTTTTATAATCTACACTGAGAACTTCTAAAAGAACTAAATTTCAGTCTTCAAGGGCTTTGTCAGGCATGACAGGCCTTTCTGTTAGCTGGAGAAGTGGAAATAGTCAAGTCAATGTGAGGGAATGTCTCAGGACATAAATGCACACAGTGCTGCTTTATGGGCTGAGTGTGAATTCCTGAATACAATCACTTTCTGGGTCAGTGAGATTTAGGTTAGCTGAGGGAAAGCAGTCTACCGGAGACCAGTGGAGCAGGACATGCCATCCTACCACACTTGACAGCAAGCCTTTCTTGCTGACTGCAGAAGCTGTGCTTACCTTCTGTGAAGTACATGTCATGTATTGCAAAGTGTTGAGGTTTTGGGACTTTATCCTGACTCACTTCAAAGCCAGCTGACTGCTGTTGTCCCCAGCACAGTGATGAGCTGAGTGGGAGGACAGGTCTGGTCAGTGAAAGGGAGGGAATGAGGATGAGAGACTGGGTGGCTGTGGATAGGCAGCTTCCCCTTACCCTTGTTTTTTGTTATAGTTGCTCTTGGCAAAGCCAACCTTCTTAGCCTATTTCCACCCCTTCATCCATCCTGTGCTGTCGAGGTGCCATCATCCAGACACAAGTGTGTGAAATACACTGCTGCCAAGGGATGACTTGTCTGAGGAAAGGAGTGGAAACAGCATAATTAAACCATCCTGACCTTTGTGTCTGGGCAATCTACTCTTCCTCCAGTTTTGTGTGGATCTGTAAACTAAATGACAAGGTCAAACTGATTGAAGTTAGAGTTAAACCCCTGTAAAAATCTTGTGCTGCATGAAGTAGGGCATTGTAAGTAAGTAATCCGTATTGCTGTTTATTTTGTTAAATGCTCTTAGTTGCACATCTCCAAATCTAGACTCAATTTTATCAGTTTTGGTCTGCAGGCAGCAGGAAGAGGTTTGTCTCTGAAAACATTATCTGAGGGAAACCTGGCAATTCTTTTAAAAATTGGAAACCTGAGTTGAATGGTAGCTCATATGTGTCCCCAATTTATGCTACTAGGTAAGACAAAAAATGGAAGAGCAGGTTGCTCAGAAATCATCTGAACTGGAACAGTATTTACAGAGAGTACGTGAACTGGAAGAAATGTATAAACAGCTACAAGACGCTTTGGAGGATGAGAAACAGGCACGTCAAGATGAAGAGACTGTAAGGAAACTTCAAGCCAGGTATGGCTTTGACCTGGTAGAGATTTATTTCAATTTCCATTGCAGTAACAAATAACTATGCCATGCGATTAAAGATTGTTTATATCTTGGACATGCTGCTGGAAAGGGGGACTAGCTTGAAGTCCAAACACAGGATAGCTTTTTTGTTTTCTTAAGCAGATTAAAGCTGGTATTTATTAATACATTTGGTTAGCCCATAGCAGTGGGAGTGCTCAGCAATTTCAGAAAAGCGGGTGCACTTAATTTTCATCGTGTTGGGTTGTGCATGTCAACACTGGAAAAACTGGGATCCCTCTGTAGACTTTTTAGTTGTGTATTTTATAAAGCAGTAACTGTAAATACAACTTTCTGCTGTATTTTATCACAGGGTTAAATTGTAATGAATAAAGGGTTAAGTCTCCTCTTACTCATATGGGCTTTGTTTAGTGTGGTTTGTTTCTTCATATATTCAGTCCTCCTAAGGCAATTAAGATCACTTATGCATGCTTGTTTCTTCTGTGGTTTTCAGTGTTGTGCATTTGCATTATTGACTAAATTTTCTGAATAGCCCTTTGTAGCAGTCACACTCCATGCACTGCTGGCATGATTTTCAGCTTTACACCGAAGACAAGCCAACAAGCAGTAACTTTTTCTCTGCTTCCCAAGCTTTTTTTTTTTTTTAAATAAAAGGAAAGAAAATAATTAGCTTGGCTTCCCTACATGTATGCTACACAATGGATACAGCTTACTGTAAAACGCAGTTAACATTGCAATCCCCATTGCAGATTACTGGAAGAGGAGTCAGCAAAGAGAGCTGAACTGGAAAAATGGCACTTGCAGCAGCAACAGACCATTCAGATGACAGAGGCAGAGAAGCAAGAGCTAGAAAACCAGAGAATGATAAAGGAACAGGCTCTTCAAGTTGCTATGCAGCAACTGGAACAACTCGAACTGGAAAGAAAGGAGGCCCTTGAGCAATACGAGGTGAGCTGTTCTGTTCATCAGCCTCATACTTAGGCAGGTATTCAGCAGTGTAAGTGATCATCGATACCGTGCTTCTTCAAGGATTGGTATGGCACAAAAATTACAGTAACAGGTAGGATAGTTGTGTGTTCGGTTTTTTTTGGTCTAGACCAATGGATATATTTGAAGAGGAGGACATGTTTCAGACACATCACCTCCTTTATTCTTTTGTCCCAATTCGCAGGCCAGCTCAGTCATATCCTGAAATACATATGTTTGTCTTCTGCTGTACTAACTAGTCTTACTCAGTCCCATTGCTGTTGTAACGAAATGCCTTATGCTTTTGAATAAGTTATTCTTGCAATGTTTTGATGATGTCGTGGGGCAATATTGTCTCCTACAAATGAAAAATTAATGTGCTGCTGTAGGCCCTTGCTCCTCAAAAAGATATTTAAGCACTGAACTGATGCCAAGGATAGCTAGGAATTAGCTCAGATTCTCAGTGTGTAGCAGTACCTCGCATCCCCAATGCCAGGCCTGTTCTCTGCTCCGCTGAGTGGTCTTGGTGAAGGCCAGTAGCTGTACGCATGGAAGAAATAACAGAATCCAGTGAGTACAGAGTGTGAAGTGCTGCATACTTTCTAGGGCTAGGGAGGTGTTGATCCTGTGTGTATTTAGGTCAGGAAACAAAACACGACTGTATTTCTGTTTAACTAGGGAGTGTGTTTATGCTGTCTCTGTGCTGTTGGGGTGAGCTCTGTGTAGGACAAGCTAGTGAGCTGTCTTGGCTGGCACAGAATACAAATGCTGCAGTGACTGGGAGTAAGGGGCCAGGTGGGGTAGTTCCGGCCACTTTACAACTTACAGTGTTGGTGTTGCATCTAACACCATCATTAGATTGCTTTCGGCTAATACTTGACTCCTTTTTAGATCACATCTCAGGCTTTTTGTATATGAAACAACATTTATTACTCCAAAGGAACTGCTGAATACAATAGACATGAAAGAAAGGGAAGCAAAAAACCAAATAAACAAACAAATTCACAAAACAAATGTGGGAGTAGGTCACTGAGATAGTTGACTCATTATTTTAGAAAGAATTAAACATCTGGCCTCCTGTTGGGAATTGACCAAAAGACTGGCTTAGCCTGAAGAATACCTCTTTCTTGCGTGGGTGTAACAGCAGCAGTCCTGTTCCTAGCTTACATTTTGTGATTTCTGACAGTGAGAGGTACCCACTAGCTGGTCTTAGTTTGGAACAGAAAATGCATCTTTCCATTTTGAAACTACAGTTTATGCTTCCAATCTTCATGAAGACTGGCCCTTCTTACACAGCTACAGAATCTTGTAAAACCTACTTACTTTCGGGTTCTGGTTTGACAACAGCTAGCGACTGACTAAAATACTTAGGATGGTTGGAAGTGACGTGCTCCCTGTCTACACTAAAAGGAGTGCTGGCTGAAATAGTGTGGTTTTGTCTTCAGATTTAAAAGGATGTTTTTTCTTTTTACATAAAAAGAGTGAAATTGTTCTTGTTTTCAAGTGGGCTGTATCTTATTTCAGGAGGTTAAGAAGAAGTTGGAAACAGCAGCTAATAACACCAAGAGTTGGAAAGATAAAGTAGCTCATCATGAGGGATTAATTCGACTAATAGAGCCAGGTAAGTTACCAACAGAACAGTCACAAAAAAAATTTGTATTCGTTCTGTCTCATATACTTAGATCACATAGTGATTTACTGAAATCTGCCTTTTCCTGTAGCTTACTGCTTTCACAGCAGCCTGTAAATATCACCATTGGGAGAACTGCTGATGGTAACTTTCAAGTCTTTACCTCTACTGGCACTACTCTAACAATTAATTTTAAAAATTATCTATCTTTATTTATTTAAAACAAAGCAAGGATTAACCTGAACATTGGACAGTCTGGGTGTTTAATGCAGTTAGCATAAACACTGATTGCCAAAACCATGAAGATAGCTAAAAATATTTGATTTTTGGAAAAAGTTTAATTTCTTAGCTTAATTAACAGCATGCCAGCCCAGAGGAAAGTGGCTTTGTAATGCAGTGCTGGAGAAATTGCTTTCCTTTAAGGATAACTCTAAAGGCAAGCAGAGAGGTTTACTAAGATACAACTATTTGGTGGGGGGGTAGGGGGGAAGATTGGAAGATCGCAGCAGTTGACAGCTTCTCACACTACGCACCTTCACTGACAGTGTGCCAGGCCTTCCTGCCTCCTTGGTCAGGCAAGTCCTTGGGTCACTGTTGAGAGCATTCCCAGTCACAGAACCAGAGAGACAGCACTTACCAAATCATCCTGTGGTGACACTCAGCTGTCCTGCTGCTGGTGTGCGAGCGATATCCCTGTCGGAAACGCCTGTTTCAAGTATTGCACTCTGTCTTCCAGGCTCCAAGAATCCTCACTTAATCACAAACTGGGGGCCAGCTGCTTTCACTGAAGCTGAACTCGAGCAAAGACAAAAGAGCTGGAAAGGGAAAAAAGCCACTTCTGAGGAACGACAGTAGCTGACGTACTGTTCATGACTAGAAGCCCACCTCCCTTCATTCTGCTCTGCACAGAGCAACTTCACGCTTACAAAGATCTTAGTTTGCTCAGCAGGTTGGGCCTTTCTACACAGGAAATACCATTTCCCACACAGGAGTGTCTACTCAGAGCTCAGTAATTATAACTATGTGGTGTCTGACAGTACTTGCTGTTTTCCCTCACATTTCCAGAAATTCTGTTCTTTTATACAAAACTTTTCAACTGAAGATGATTGTTATTGAAATGTAGCTTGGAACAGAGTTGTTTCTGTAGTAGCGTGTAACAATCCGACAGCATCTAACTGATCAAGCAGTGTCAATTTCATTCTGAAAAGCGAGGGAAGCAATTGTTTCATTGGTTCGGTTGGTATCATTTAAACCCAGGATAAATCAGTCCTGGAGGTTCTGTCTGACTCTGAGACAGAGCATTACCTTTCCTTGTGTTTTTGCTCTGTCCCTCTGTTGCTCTTTGCACAGTGCCCAGATAAGTTCTTCCTTAGCGAGGGTAGACTGGCATCACTGGGTACCTGCTGCCTGGTCAGATTTTGTGTCCCGTTTTCCTCTGTTTGCAGGAATCCAAATGAAAGAACTGGAAACAGGCATGTACAAAATTCTGCCGTAAAACATTTGGAAAAACTGGTCCTGCAAGATTGTTCTTGTACTGTCTCCTACTTGAGGAGTGCTAAAAAACCCTCAGGAGTTCACTTCGTAGCTTAAAAGATGCACAGTTTTAACTTACAGATTTCTGGAGCAGATGAATGGAAGATGACAGCAGATGCACAGGCCAGCCATCGCCTGCATCAAGGCTATGTTTGTGCAAGAAACCTGATTATAAAATACCATCATTTTAAATACAGCGCTTTTGTCTCAATCTTAGTTGGAGGCCAGATTGAAAAAAAAAAAAAACCAAGAGGAAAACTAAAATTGACATTTTTATTTTAGATAAAAATAATAAATTTGTAGCAATGCTGCCTTGGAAAAAATGAATTCCTGCCAATAAAATAATCTCAGTGTTTCTAGTAACAAGGCTTCCCAAAGAGCATACTGCTCTGTCTCGGAATTCTCTCCGGGGACAAAGCCAGTTATTTCTGTTTCTGTGGGGAAAAGGAACAAGTCTGTGATTTTGCTCTGTAGATGTCCCACACTAGACAAGGAGTCAGTCTGTTGCTAAGGAAAATAGTATTGTTGCTGAATTGTACAGATGTTCTGAGAACTAAGTCCCCCCTCCCGACGAGCAGGTGCCCATTGGTGTGGCTTGTTAGTCAGCTTTGACACTGAACATGTACAACCCTCTCTTAGCACCTGCTTTTTAGTTCAGCTAAATGTTAAATTATTTTTAGTAAATAAAGAGTGAATTTTTCAGGTGGATGACGGGTGCATTTGTGTGCGGCATTGTGATACTTGGCTCTCAGAAGAGCAGAAGCTGCACCGAAGTGATCTTCAGATTTGGAAGTCAATAGCGTTTTGCCTATTAACTAAGACTCACTGAAATACTGAATCTTCTCAGACATTTATTCTCTGGTTATATTTTTATACTAATTGAAATCTTTAATGTTTTGTTAAATAGAGTGCTGATTAGAATGGCAGGAAAATCCAGGATCTTCCTACTTGTATTTACTGTACAGGAAAGCAGTAGTTCCTTAAGCTTGCTAACAAGGCATTTTTTAAAATTGATTATGTTTACAGAAGAAATGTGAAAAAAAAAACTGTAATAGAAATACTAATGTATACATTGTTAAACTTTGCTAAAGGAGACAGAACAGTATTTATAACTACCAAATGTCTTTTATGTGGAGAACAGAAGGTGTACTGGGGCTAAACTAGTTTAATTTTTCTAACAGTCTTTATTTTGGACAAAGGTTTTTTTAAGAACACCAAATGATGCATGTTTTCATATTTTTTACTGTTCTTTAGAATTGGCTATTTAATAAAGTAATACAAAGTCATTTACTTTTCTGAATGAATTGATTTTTTTTGCATGGCTTTCTTTGGGTCACTGGAGTTGAAGATCCAGTAACTGTTGTGTGGAAGTATTCCTTTGACAGAAGAAATATACTCTTAATGGTCTGCTGAATGAGACTTAGATTAAAGCCATAATAAAGGCCATGGTCACACAGATAATACAGTATCATTTAACAGCACCACTGCTCTTAAATGTTCCTATTACCTACACCTTGATCAAGTATAATGATGGGCAGCATTGCTTAATAACAGTATTTTGAGGGTGCAGTTTAGCTGTTTTCTGAAACACAATGAAACGACCTGATAGAACAGTTGCATCTACAGTAAGACATTGAGGCTTGGAGCTGGAGCCTGGGACAAGGGCAGACCTGGTCTTACCCGTGAGCTAATGGGGGAGAACGTCTGCAGGGTGAGGGTACCGTGGCACACACGGACAGGTGCCACTGCCGGCACTACGGCCTTGCAGTACAATGTCATCCCTGTCTGTCTGGCTGCAGTTATTTTTTAGTCACTGTTAGAAGAGGAAATGAGACAAGCCGCCTTTTAGCGGTGAGGTCCCTGTTCGCTGTGACAAATTAAGAAAGCTTTGCATGAAGTGGTGCACAGTACAAGTGGGGGAAGAGATCGGTTTAAAAATGACCAATTGCATTTTGAGCAAAACCAGCACTTTAGACTACGGTCCGTTAAAGCTGCACTGAACACAGCATTCAAAGAGAGAGTAGCATTGTGAGTCAGTCACCACACCGCATGAGACAGTGCCACATGGAAAACTGCAGTGCAGCATCATTTCCGGTGACCCCAAAGGTTACAGCACCCCTATGCCAAGAAACTGCGGAGACTGCTAATGGCGAGGATATCCTCAATCAACTGTGACGCTATGGATGTCTGCGCTGCCTCGAGAAGCCACACAACATCCGTAGTGCCTTTGTACAGGCCAGGCTTACTTACCTATGCCGAGGCCAGTGGAAAGCAGCGCCTGCTGTTCTTGAGCCCTCAGCAAATGGGCTTGGTCTGCTTGTTTTGCCTGCCGGAGCCAGGTTTACCTGCTGCTGATGGTGGAACAATCCTGCAAACCAATAGCACAGCACCATGCTTTTTTCTTCCAGGACTGTTTTATGGAGCTGATTTATGTTCACTCATTCCCAAACTGTAACCAGCAGCTTTCCAGCAACTCGTATTACTTCAGTTTACCTTTCCTGCATGACCAGCCACAAAAGCAAAGCCTATATGGGAAAGCAACATCATGTTAGGGCAAAATCTGTATCCTGGAGGGACACAATCCAACCCCAAAAGAAGCTACTGCTCCATCACGCAGGCCGCCTGGAACAGCAGCATCACCCGCCGTTTCAGTAAAAGTGAACTGGAAACAACTGCTCTGGTTTTTAGCTTAAATATGTGAAGCAGTTAAGCAAACAATTTTTGAGCAGAGGTCTTTCAGCTGCTTTGGGGCGAGAGGTACTTGTTTGTAAAGTGAAAGGCACAGAAGAGAGGAGTTATGATGTGCCGTAAAGGTGGTGTCTCCAGTAGCACGAAAATCCCCTGCAACAGTCGCAACATTTTGGTTCCCCCGCTCACCAATTAGGGACTTTCCAACTGCCAGCACCACCCTGCTTATTTGATATTGTGGTGCGCTCATGTTTGTTTTTTTTTTTTTAAAATCTTTTCGCGCCACGGTGGGAGACCCCGGGGGCGTCCCCGCCTGGCTGTACCCGCCGGGCCCGGGGCGGCGGGGGGGGGGGCGGGGCGGGGG